CTGTTAAATTATCTCGCTAGAATGGAGTTGTTTTTTTGACCGCGCTACCGCATACAAGCCATCGCATACAGTCATTAGAGACAGAATTTTTGCGCCACTAGAAAAAGCATATGCTACAGCCTGTGATAATTGGCAAGTTTCCAACCGCGGCCGTGCCGTCACACAGTTCCAAGTTGACCGGATATTTGGTACAACATACTCAGAGGTTGCTTCAGTTGAACGAGCGAAAAAACCTTTTGAATCCTGTGGTATCTGGCCTTCTAACGATCAGCTATTTTCGGAATGAAGATTTCACTCCCTCAGAGGTAACGGATCACCCTTATCCAAGCATAGAACAGGAGATTATAGTTATAGACTAGCTCTATCTGCGCAATCACCAAGTCCTGATCCTGAATCTATAGGTCAAGCTACGAGTGATAATCCAGTTACAGTTGCACATTCCTCATGTTCCAGTACAGTTTCTGAATCTACAGTTGAAGTTAATAGTGCATCTATAGCAGCACAATCATCGCGTAGTGATCCAATTCCTTCACCTACGGAAGATTATATAAGTGCCAATCCAGCTCCAGCTGCTATTCAAGAAACTGATGATTTACAAACACTGTCCACCTCGACATTCATTAAAAATTAGCTTTATTATGTTTTGTTTAAATAAAAAAAAGCGTAACCTATTCATTTGATCGATTTATTTTTTGTTTTGCAGGATTCCAAAAGTAAATGGAAAACCTCCCACAAGAAATCATATGGAGAAATTGAATCATCTAATATGTTGGCTCATCTCAAGAGAAGTCCTGAAGTACGCTGTCAATGACATTGAGCATTGCCAATCTATCCCGCTCACATAAAATAATACTGACCAAAAGCATCCACGGAAATCCATTATTCAAAGTAAGTTGAAAATGACGATGGGGAGTAACAAAAAGAAAATAGATGAATATCTTACAATGATGATCGCCACCGATTTCCAGCCATTCTCCGTGGTGGAAGACAAAGGCTGAAGCCTTTTAAAAGGTTCGTAGAAGCCTTAAATCCTAAATATATACTACCTTCTAGAGAAAAAAATTGATATGATTTGATGTCCGCTTTATACGCAAAGCTGAAGACACAGCTTGAGAGTTTGTTAAAAAATACAGAATACGTCGCACTAACCACAGATCTATGGTCAGATCAGAACATGGAGTCATTTATAACGGTGACGGTACATTTTTTTCACGAATGTAATCTGAAAAGTTAGGTTTTGACAACGTCGGAAGTTCATAATTCCCATTTAGTGTAGGTGTATGCACCCATGCGAGACACCATGACTTGAAAAACCTAGGCATTTTCATGGTTTATTTGAAACCAAGGTCTATTGACTATAAGCTAGTTTCTCTGGTTACAAAGACACGTGTTTATTTTATATCGAGTCGGCACACAGATGAGTCAGTGTTTTAATTAAAACTATTAGAATGTTGTTATAAATAGACTGTTTCGAAGGTATGTCACAATAAAATTAACAGACCATGTGGGCGATGACGGTCCTATGAACAATTTGGCATTCTTTAGTCCGGAGATTTATGCATTTCGTTTAGTAACTAGATGTAATTGATTATATCATTATATCATAATATAACATTTTAGCATATAGTGTGACTGACATTCAATATTTCGGCCTAGTGGAAAAACAAACTCGATTTTTTTTAAATATTTTTGTACGCTAAGATTAGAACCAAGTGATTTAGCTGCCAGGGACGTCAGACCATTCAAAATATTTTCCATGATCAAAGACCAATTTTTTTCCTGTCAGTTACTACAAAGAAACATAATTAACAGGAACGTTTCGGTAAATAAGCAAAAAGTGGAAAGGCTTAAAATGCAATGGTTTTTTTTCAAGTACTCCAATAAAAATGATGTACTCTTTCAAGGGGTTGATTTAAAGAAACTTAATTCAATTATCATTGAAAACATAAATATTTTATATCGTGCGTACTGGATTAGTACTTAGATTAGTACTTAAATGCTACAAAAAAAAGAAAATTTTGGAATGCTTTTTTCTCCTGTTTTGTACGATGGACAATTTTCGGAAATGGATTGAAGCTGCAAAAAAACATTCGATCGTGAACATAGAATGGTGCTTGAACAAGATAAAAAAAAAGAAGTGGAGTAATATTTTAAGCCGCCAGTTTGATGTTATCAGTATAGTAATAATACCTCTTAGAGGACATAGAGAGGGGGTTATATCAGATAGTAGAGGGAATTTGTTAGAATTAGTTAATCTACTGTCGAAATATGACAGTGCTAAGAATTGAACATGCTATTTCCAGTACAAAAACAGAACGGATTCTTATCTGTTTAAAGACATAAAAAATGAATTCATAAGTCTTTGGGGAAGGAGGTAAAAGTAACATTGAATACGACATAAACAAAGTCAAATATTTTGTAATTATTTCGATAGCACTCCAGATATGTGCATACTGAAGTTGATCAAGAGTCTTTCCTATAAAATCCTGGAAATACTGCAGTTGAACTTGCTGAAAATAGCCTTACGCAGCTGGAGAATGATAACTTGAACAGACATCTATTCGGGGCTCAAGGATATGATAACGCTGCAATCAAGCCAGAATAAAAGAACGCAATCATAAAGCGTTGTTTACGCCTTGCGCTAATAATTTGTTAAATCTATGTGGAGTGCACTCATTTGGGAACATTTTAAGTATCAGAATCAGAATCAGAATCAGAATATTTATTGCCAATAAGCTGTGTATGTACAATTTGCGGGTGACATTGCAATTAAATGTTACACAGTTTACCCATATATCTTTATTGGGAACAGTAGATAGAGTTTAGATGTTCTTTTCATCATCCACACATCGATGGGAAATTTTAATGAGCTGTAGGCGCATTCGTCAAAAGACTATCGGAGACAAGATGGAGTGCTCATCACAATGATGTTAAACTGTCTGCAGTGTAGAAGAATTTTGAGAAACTTGTATCAACACTAGAAGATGTGTGTGATCCCAGCAGCAGCAGAGAAAACGGCGATACAAGAGAAGCAGCATCAACACTTACCAGCATTATGAGACTTCAGTTTTTTACGCTTCTTTTCATTTGGTGTGAAGTCCTTGAAGAAGTTAATCAGACGCAAAAGTATATACAAACATCTAGACTATTCGCTGGAACAGTGTGTGATGAACATCAAAGTCCTTGAAAATTTTCTTCAAAGCCAACGTATTCAAATAGTGGAAAAAGCTAACTCCTACGCAATGAAAAGACGCGAGGACTTGGACATTTCGATTGAAGAAGAAGAAGGAAAAGTTTGCCATGTATGCCAAGAGAAATGGCCCGAGATGCTGGGCTAACATTGCCAAAGGAGCAACAGAGAGCAACAGCAGAGAGCTATGTCAGAATGTCTTGACAGATTTTATGAAGAACTAGATCATCGTTACAAGGTAATGATGAAACTTTTGAAGATTTTACGACTCAGGCGCCACTTGGAAGCCGCCAGCGTTTCTTCCCAAGTAGCATGTGGACTACATTGGAGTTTCTCAGATTCATCTTAAAATTCCGAATAGCCCATAATCTGAGTCTTTTTCGAATCTAGCGCAGTGTCTAAGATTTTTTTAAACTATTTGTGTTTCGGTGGCTTCATATGAAAGAAGCTTTTCAAAACTCAAGTTAGTAAAAACTTACTTAATGTTCACAATGGGCCAAGCGCGACTAACGAATCTTTCCATTTTATCTATCGAAAAGGACAGGAAAGTAAATTTTAATAAAGTAATAGAATATTTTAGCGAAATAAAGTCCCGTATGCTTGTCTAGCATTTTTTTTTAGGGGGTGTTTGATAAAAATCCGCTCTGGATGCCAACCCACACTAGACCGCCACTGTCTTGATGACTTAGTTTCAACAATAAAGTTCAGATCAAAGCATAATGTAATACTAGAGCAAATCGCTATATTTATTTATATTTATGAAACTTTCAGTTTAACGCCTTTAATACACGAGGATATTTAAAAACAAAACAATGTTAGTGTTTTATATGACTAAATCGCGCATAGGTATACATATTATTGAATGTATTATTATATAATTATAATCTGTCAAAATAGTTGGGAGTTCAATGGAAGATGCGTGAATTGAAATTTGGAATAAATTAAATTTGATATTATATTTTACCTAAACTTGTAAAAAAGATATTAAACAGAATACATTCTTTATTGCTAAGTCTTAATTGAAATCTTATAATCTCGACGGCTACACAGGAAATAATAATCGTAGAATTACGCCTTATGCCTTATTTGAAACAGTGTTCCTAAATCCGTTTGGCAGAGCACACCAGTAGCCATTAGGTTGTATACATTCATGTAGTTTAAAACCCCTGAATGATTTTATATTCGGATTTTTCGATTTTATTATTGTACACAGCATAATTTTGATATTAAAGCAAAAAATCACAATGTAATTCAAAACAAAATACATATCAAAAAAATAAAATAAATCAAGCAATTATTGTTCAAATCTCTCATACAAAACTTAATTATTTAAAATTCACAGCAGCAATGCGGAATGTACGATTATGAGTACAAATATACATCTACAAATTTAAAGCTTTCAAAACATTTTTTTAGTCATGGAAAACTTAAGACTAAAGTTTGTTTATACTAAGTGACACTCCCGAAATTGACCTCGATATTATGAAGTCTTACAAGTCGTTCTAGCTAATCTGTTGATTGAAAAATAAGGTATGAACAGATAACTCTTCAGGCACGTCGAATAATGAAATTGATGAAAGTAAAGATTTTTTGCTATCCATGTCTAATGTGGTAGCCGACGCTTTTCTTAATTTTTAATAACAGTAAGATCGTAAACGAGGCAAACAAAATGAACATATTAACGTAAAATCTAAATGCAATAATTACGTAATATACTACTCATATAATACCGCGCGAGTTTCAATGAATTCCATAATTTTCTATTCCTTTCAATAGAAGCATGCGTTCACCACCGTGTTGCTAACAACATTCAGACGGGCGTGCCGAAGTCGGGGTCGCCGCAACCGGGCAACAAGCGGGCAGGCATTTTGCCGCGTTCGACCGCTCCGTTGGTCATTACAGCATTTTCTGTCACACGCCGCGCTGAACCTATCCTGTACATAAAATCAATATAAATTAGTTATTTCTTTAAAATATCTTACACTTTATCTAATATATATGTACGTTTTAATTTTCGTTTCTAAGGGAATCTTTTTCTTAATTTAATCATGTAGGTGTTGTTAACAAAAACTGAAGGAATAAGTAAAACACAAGGACATCTACTTGAGAATTAAACATATTATCGACTATAAACTGTATAGCGGCGCTGTCGTCGCGCCACAAGCGAAACATATCGAAGCCTAAATCGCACTAACAAAGTTCCGAAGTTAAAGCAGCATATATAGAATAGCTCCGAACTACCAATCGGAGCGCTGGCCGCTCCCCGGGCAGAACACCTTGCCCGGCGGGAGATCTCCCCTTTTCCTTCCTACGGCCACAACTGTAACGCCATGTGTACGTAATCCTTTATTATAGTACTATGCAGTTTGTTTCTTTTCAGTGGGAAGGTATTCCAAAGCCTCAGACCGTACGATATGCAGAGTAACAGAAAACTAAAACTATCTAAAATGTGTATATCATTAGGTACGATTTTTTTATGTTTAAATGTTTGCTGTAGTTTAATTTTGGGGGCGGTTTAACGGACTAAATAAATAAATGAATAAAGTAGATAAATGAAGCTGTTTATCATCAGTTTTCACCACTTTTTTTCTTTCATTCAAATGTTTATTCCTTGTGATTCCACATGCAGCGTCAAAGTTGCTAGATGTATGTGATTGCGATCATGAATTTGGAATGAGGTGACATATTTCACAGATTTCATGGAGGAGAAGTTAAATTAGTAGAAACATATAAAGGTTAATGTTACATTCTGTAATTTAAGTTATATTTTATATTAATTAGATTAAAATGGATAAATCAAACTACGGATATTCCTAAAGGTTAAAGAATTAAAAACAGATATTTTTTGACAATTAAAGTTTTTAAGACTTTTTGAAGTCATCAGCAATCAGTCATCAGTAATACCATAACATCCTTTTAAAAATCTACTGCTCAATATACGCATCCCCATATATTACCTCATAGGAGGGATATTTGCCATAGTTGTCCTTCCCCTGTTTTGGTTTACCGCTGTCGCCTCTCACGACACCCACGATACGTATGGGGTATTCGTAAACCGCCACTACACAGTTAGGTAATCTAACCACGGATTGATTTATTCAAGTATAAGTCAATATTACCGAAATCCTTTAGATTCCCTCCTCGGTTTCGTTTCGCCATTTGTTTTAGGGGGTTTGACTTCTAAGTCTACTAGCAGCGGGGCTGGTAGCTCCTGCCGTGGCGATTCCGGCGATGGAGGCGAATGTGGCGATGGAGGCGACTGTAGCGATGGAGGCGACTGTAGCGACGGAGGCGACTGTGGCGATGTCGGTGATGGCGGTGAAGACTGCGTCGGAACAAGTACTGATTCCGATATTAGAGACGGATACGAGTTCTGAACGGCAACTGTGAAATAAATGATTGGTTCAAACACTTGATAAAGTCTAGTTAAAAATAGATGTTTTTAATTATTACACTTATTTACTAATTTTAACAGTGGTAGAGCCACGCGGCAGCTTCTGCTGTTGCCGGACCGGCTCGAACCGAAGAAGTGCCAGCAACTTCCATTTGATCACATTCAACGTAGAGCGGTTCGAATTGTCGGCGACAGAGCTCTTTCTGATCGGCTTGACTCACTGGCGCTGAGAAGAGATGTTGCATCTCTTTGCGTATTCTATCGTATCTACCATGGGGAGTGCTTAGAGGAATGAATTCTTCGGACTAATTCCAGTCGTTTAATTTCACCATCGCACTTCGCGACAGAACTCGAGATACCATCCACACCATATAGATGATTGGCGGTCCACCACTGTGCGATTTACAGGAAGTTTTCTTCCTCGCACAACTTCCTTGTGGAATCGAATACCACCAGCAATTTTTCCGGACTGATACGACTTAGGGACCTTCGAGAAAAGAGCCTACTCCTTTTTAAAAGGCCGGCAACGCATCTGCCATTCCCCTGGTGTTGCAGTTGTTCATGGGCGGCGGTATTCAATTACCATCAGGTGAGCCGAAGAACATAAATTTATCAGTATATAAAGAAAGAATTCGCTGTAATCTCTGTAAAGTTTTAGGTCTAGCAACTTTTGAGATGGCTATTTTAGAGTACAACTTATGATCTATTTTCAACAATAAGGGATGAAAAGATTGCATACAAGTTAAGAGTGTTTGGTAAGTAGTGGGAAAACTGACACTAGTCAACTTTAAACAATTTTCTATCGTTGGCCTTTGATTGGTTTCATTTCAGTTAATTCATAAGTGTTTAAAAAACTACAAGTAAATATACGAGTGGAGGCCTGATAAGAGCTCTAACCTGAATATGAATGATTAATCAAGGATTTTTTTAAATTTTTAATGTACAACTACAAGTAATACCTACATTCAATGCAAATAAATCAATATTCTAATCTATTCTATCAAACTAAAAAAATATTGCACTCTTTATTTTGATTGTCAAAGAGTTTTCAAACTTTATCGGTTTGAAATTGATATCCTATTACATTTTTCTTCACATTTCCGATTTTTTAACGAAGTATACCATGTAAAATAAATAAAAATATTTTTTTTTATATGATAAGGGTGACAAACGAGCACCCAGTCCACCTGATGGTAAGTGGTTGCTGCGGCCCATAGACATCTACATCTATCCTCTATTACAAATCAAAATGTAGATGCGTTGTTACCCGTGAGGACTAAGATGGAATGCCTCATTTCCAGTAAAAAGGGCCTCCGGCCACCTGCACTCACCAAGCGAAACGCAGAAGTAAACCTCTACTTCACGATAGTTTTCTGTGACGTCGTGGTACCACCCCGGTTGGAGCCGGCCCATCCGTGCGACAGCAAAAGCTGCCGCGTGGCTCTACCACTGTTTAACTGTTTCTTCACAAAACTTAAATTAATTAGATAGTTGATTTATTGACTTATTTATCAGGTCATCTTTCTTAATTTACAGATATGTAAGGAGGATTTTGCCATAGATGTCACGCTTGGCAGGCGGGTTGCCAACCGCAGTTTTTTTTATTATTTTTAGCTGTTACCAAGAAGATGCTGCTGCCCATCTTCTGTTTCAGTCTTCACTCTGTCACCTCTTACGACACCCACAGTACAACTGCAGCATTCTCCCTATAAAGCAATCTATGGGGGCCTATTGGACTTTTATAACATGTAATAGTAATTCATACGTAAACTAGGTTTAACTCATTAAAGCATTCATACCAATATCATGATTTGTTGGAACGAGAGGTGCTGCTAATGTGGGAGGGAGCTGTCCTACCGCGATGAGCGCGGGTTGCGCAGCCTGATTGGGCTGAGCGGATTGACTAAGCTGAGCGAGTTGAGCGATCTGAGCGGGCTGAGCGTGCTGAACAGGCTGGGTGGACTGAACGGGCTGAGTAGGCCGCTCGGGCGACTCCTCGGCTGCGAGCGGCTCGTCCGACGAGTGCGCCTCACCCGACACTGCAAGGTACGCGCCCTTCGTCCGCCAATCCTATACAAAATACAAACTTATTTAATCCAAAATGAATAAAAATTATCTACATTTCTACTGACTTCAAAAAGTAGACGGTACACAAATCGACAGTATGTTTTTTTTAATGTGTTTTACCTCATAACTCTTTTCTGGGTGCACCGATTTCGATTATTGTTTTTTTCTATTAAAAACCTGTTTTTTTTATAAGATGGGGGTGAAAAACGAGCACACAGTCCACCTGATGGTAAGTGGTTGCGGTGGCCCATAGATATCTACATCTATCCTCGCTTGCGAATCAAAATGCAGATACGTTGTCACCTGTGAGGACTAAGATGGAATGCCTCTTTTCCAACTCCAATCCTTTCCAACCAATCCTTTCACAACTGTTAGACTGGACTCACACATCCGGAATGCCTCTCTGAATTCATAACCTAAATTCATATTATTAATTAAGAAAGTTTAGAATTACACACAGTCTACAATTACACACATTCAGATTTTCTCAGATCCATCTGTAAGAACGACTCTGACGAGCGTTCTGATTATGATTTCATAACGCACGTTTTTCGACTTGTGAAGTTGTAATGTAGAACCGACTTTCCCTTGCTCTGATCATATTAAGAGATGAGGTGTATTCGTTTGCGTCACTCTTGTTATTTAAAGCTAAAAGTAGTGCGAGGAGTATTAATCTCTCTTCCATATCCGAGACGTGTGCCTGAGCCGAGAAACACGAAACGACTGATTTATATGAATTTTTAAGATAGGTGTAAGATGGCTTGCCGGAATTCAAATTATGAATTCAGACTCTGAATTCAGAGAGGCATTCCGAATGGCTGAGCCTTATATTCTTATATTATGTCCAGCCTTATATTCTCTTTAAACTGTGCTATTATTGCATACGGTAAATTTCGTGGACGCACTTGCAACTTGCGCCTTTTAACGAGGTGAGCTACATAAACTCTTAAGACGAACTAAGTCAAACAATGCACCTGCTGCTTGCCTCTTGAAAGAAGGAAGCTACTTTAATCAAACACTTAGGAAAGTAATAGACGGACATAGTGTGCAAGAGAGAAGAAAATTCCTTATGGCAATATAGCAAGATAGAAAAGGATAGCAAATCTCATGACCCTGTAACCGATTTTGAATGACAGCTCGGCACAAGTCGGCACGCAAGAAATAAGCTCCTAGATATTTTGTAATATTTTAGAGTATTATAGTGAATAGCGAATTTGTGATATTTTAGAGTAAAATGGTTACTAGTTATGTGAGTGACCGTGGTGTCAATAATTGAAAAAAAATCCTGATAATTGCACATGTCACAGGTAAATTCTCAAGACGTCGACAATGTTATGACGCGTCTATTTTTGGTTAAAATTTATGATATATATTATATACTGTTTAAAATATAGAATATTATCAATTATTTTGTAAAGGCGAAGGGCAGGCTTATATGGGAATTTCGTACAGCTAATAAAATTTCGTCTTATGGGATATTTTTTTGTTTTAATTGGTAGTTAGTAGGATAGACAAGCTCTTTTTAAATTCTTACATTTTTAAAACTTAGGACGTAAAAGTTATAAGCAGCTTTATTTTTTTAAGGTTATGTAATAGTGTACCAATATAGATTGTTACATATATGCACATATACATTGTTTTGGTGATAAAATAAATCTTCTCGATTGCTTGTCGCTAACTTTGTAGTATTTTAATTGCCACTAAGTAGGTAGATTGAGATGAGGATCGTACCCACTCAGCGGGGTGCATTAGGAGATACCTATGTCCAGCAGCGGACTGCAACAGTTTGATTATGATGAAGCTCTGATGGGGTTTTGAGTGTAGGTAAATATAAAACAATCATTTTTTTGTAGTTGAAGTCACAAAGCACAACACAAAACAACAGTAAAGAACTGAAATGAACTGAAAGACAGATTTTCTTTACCTGTCTGTATAAATAATTCCGATATGAATAAAAATATTGATGACGAAAATCATTCCTATAATTAAATCGTTTACCATTATGATTATATGCAACAATATATTAATTTTTATATTATTATTATTTCATGTATAATATGTGTTCAATTATATATAGTGTTATTTCTATTTCTAAATAAATAATTATCAATTTGATATTTATGTTATTTTACATATGGCAACATTACGATTATATTACAGTTATTTATTAAAATATTTTTATTGATATTATTAATTAATCCGAAGTTCTAAAAATAGTACACTAACATAAAAATATGTGGATTAGTTGCCTTAATATGTGGTACAAATTCTATAACAGAACAACATAAATAGATGTGACAACAAAATTAATGTCGATATTTATCTTGAACGTTTATAATGAACCGATGGACTTGCCCAAACAACAAGAAAATAAATGCTCGTCTTGCGTTCTAAAATGTAATTTTATTTTGCCGTTTTTCAAACAGATTCCCTCCGGATTCTATAATTAGAAAAAATAGTTAAAGTTAATTGGACGGGTTGGTTGGAATCCAAAGAAGAACTCACCAATTTGCAGCAAACATTTACTTGAGAAGTATAAAAGAATAAATAGAATAAAAACAATTTTATTAAAAGGAGTCATTTATGCATTTTTGTACCAGTAAGTATAATATTGTTATAATAAGACTTCAAAAATTTGAACTTTCAAAACCTTAGATAAAAATAGAGACAGATTTTTATACATTATAAAACTATAATCCATTAAAAATAAAAAAATCTTGAGATTATCCTCCAACCAACTAAGTATCTATTTATCAACCAAAATAAACGTTTCACCTTACTTAACCTACCGCACAGCCTCGCGGTCACACTAGTACAATATTCATAGCATCACGATATTTTCCGCAAGGGGTTGAGGGGAGGTTCGGATTATATTCCCAAATCACAATGATAAAACTTTTAGCGTAGTTAGGTATAGATATTTAGTAATATTTCTGAAGCGCCACTAGACGCCCGCGCATAGTATTTGATACTCACAACGCTCAATGGCCGATTCATGCTTGATGGCCGACGACATTGTGCAGAGGGCTAAAATAGCGTGGTTTATCGGCTACAGCGTTGGTCGTAGAGAAGAGGAACTCGCGGTCAATAATACCTGCGCGGATTAATAGATCTGCGAGATTAAGTTGCACTTGCCGCGGTCTATCCATGAATGAGTAACCATTTTCTTAACATACCGAAATTGAGAGAATAGAGAGTGCATCTGTATCGTCAGACACTTGATGCACTTTACTCTGTTAAGATCATTATGTTTTTAAAATTCATGCAGCTAAATTGATAATAAGTTTAAAATGTAAACATGAAGCATGATGAAGCCTCATAAACATATTGGCCTTTAAACAGAGCAATCTTATTTAACTGATCCTACAAGTTTTCTTACTTAAATTATTAAGTTTACATTCATATTTAAGACGAATGTTAAAATAAACTTCTATAATGTATTTAATTATTAAATGTTTGTAATTATCAAAAGTAATACATATATGAAAAATAAAGCAGCCATTATGTACTCCGTGTCCCCGTTTTTATTTCACCATCAAAACATTTTATAAAATATATAAAATATAAATAGTTATATACTTAGTTAATTATCTACCCATTTATAAGTTAACAATATGAAAGAAACAAAAAGAAATTCCGGGGAAACTGTCCATGGCAGTAAATATTTTTCTCCAAAGATCACGAAATACAACTTTCCGGTCTGATTCTTGGGAAGTTTTTTTTAAGTTTATTGGTAGTGTCAACTGGAATTTTATACATTTGAATTAAAATCCAACAAAAGGTAGGTAGGTTTAGCTTATTACCAGGAACATGTTATATGAATATTTTTTAATTATTTTAGAGCTGTCATGGTAAAAATTCAGTTAATTTTTGAAGTTATTCAATTTCGTGCACTAAACAATTATGTTAAATATTTTTACCACTTCCTTAACAATCATTTTTCGATAGTCCTTGTAAATAAAACGTACATCACTAGCTAACGCACACAATGACAAATAAAAATTAGTAAGGCGTTTTCGGGCTGTCAGGTCGTCTGTACGCCAGTATCACAGAGTACATTATATATAGGGAATAGAGTCATCACTTAGAATCGTAGCATTAGCGCCATCTATTGATATACGATGTCCCTACAGCCCAGCGACGACGTAGGATGCTCTATATTACAATATTTATTATTTATTTTCAAAGTAATTTCCAAAACTCAAACCATTTTAATATTGATTTGGCTTTTGCAAATTACTTTGTATACAATATAATTTAGGCAAATAAAACAACTGTTTAGCGGTTGGATGTTTTTTTATAATGCTTCCTTTTATTATAATAGTACATAACAACTTCTCTCAAAAGAATCCACAATCCAGGTCAACAGAGCACAAATAGTTAAGCAAATCAGGGTTCAGAGTTTCATGCATAAGTGCAACGAAAAAGGCGAAGTCTTCGGAGTCCGGGGATCAAGCAGTTGTTAAAGTCTTATAAACACAAACAGAGCACATTCACAAACCACGAAAGGAAATGTAATGACAAACAGACAAATTAAATTACGTTAAATGAAGTTACTAGTTTTACACTCACACAAACTACTAGTTTTAGTTTCTTTTGTTTTTAATATTGTATGTATAAAATAAAATAAAATATAAATGACATTAGTAACATTGACAGACCGAAATGACCATAGATCTCTCCCTCCGGCTCTTGCCATAGATAAACACAGAAAACAATTTGCAACGGCGAAATCATAATAATTCACTTGAATAAATGTAGAATAAATTATTATATATATAGAATTAATAACACTAAACATTTAATTACAAATTTGTTTTGTAACAAAATAGTAAGTTAACAAGGTTCGATTATATTTTGAACTATTAATTAATTTGTTTGATTCTTAATTGGCCTAGCATGGCTAAATTAAAAAAAGCGACATCTACTGCAACATGAACAAACTGTCATGACATATTAATACCTCTAAGAAAAATTATAGTATGGACTGTTATGCCAGTGGCATAAAATGAGTGTTAATTGACAGAGATAAGAAAATTAAGAAACAAATAAACTGGAAATTTATTTTTCCGACCATTGTATCGACGAACGAGGAGACGGTCTAGTCAACTGTGCACTGTGATTCCAACTAGGTCCCGACGTCATTACAGTGGGCGTGGCTTTAGTTGTCAGCTGTTAGCGTTCATCCTGTGCGCTTATGTGTCAAAAATCACAAATCGGTGTATGTTCGTAGTATTAAGAAGAAAAGGATGAAGTGTTTTATCGTGTAAAAACTACTCAGATAGACGCTCTGATGCTATGGATGGCATCGCATTTCATTTGTACGTAATTTTATACCTAATTTATTAAAATAGTTTAAAAAAATCTCTACGTCGGCTTTCAAATGTAATTAAATATACTCGACACTAGATGGCGATACTTTACTTTACTCAGAATATGTTGTCACCTCTGAGGCCTACGACGGAATGTCTCGTTACCAGTTAAAAATGTTTTTCGGCTTTTTACATTCACCATACGAAACACAGAACATCAAGCTAGTATTCTGTGAGAGCGTGGTCCTTCTGCGGTCGGGCCGACCCATTCATGCTGCAGCCATCAAATAGCTAGCTTTATAGTACAAGGATGACAAACAAATACACATTCAACCTGATGGTGAGGCTTATAGACATCTACATTTTTCCTTGATGAAGAATCAAAATGCAAGATGCATTGTCAGCCGTGAGGATTAAGATGGAATATCTCGTTTCCAGTAAAAAGAGTTTGCGGTTCTATACACTCACGAAACAGCGTTAAGCTGCTATTTTATGCTGGTATTGGGTCTACTATATACTACCAAGTACCTGTGGTTTGCGTCTCTTCTTGAGCGAAGGGCGGCGCGCGTGAACGGGCGTGGAGAGCGGGGAGGCGGGAGAGACGGACGACGCGGTGCGGGGAGTGCGCGGGGCGTGCGGGGTGCGCGCGGCGTGTCGGTCGCCGGCCGGCGACGTGCCGCCAGACTTGTCCGCCACACTCTGGTACGCACCGCGTCGTCGCTCTCCGCAAGTTTCAGACTCCAGCCGTACCATCTGTAATCGACGCTATTTTATACATTCAGGGCTTTAGACGAGTTTGCTTGCGACTACTTCAAGTAACTAGATGACTAAGTAACATCGATGATATAAAAAATAAGATATTTTAAAGCAACTAACTCGGCTCCTAATTATCGAAAAAATATCTGTGGTGTTATTTGCAACGAATTTTCTTCTGATACAGACTGCCTTATTGATTTAATGGACGTAAATGAGATTGTTGATAATGACGTCTCAAGTTAGTTAACCGGTTAAATTAGTTATTGAGTTTATCTGTAAAGATATTGTAATTAGCAGCCAGGAGTCGGGAAGTTCGGGGTGTTAGCCTTGAAAAACACGTAAAGCCATTGGTCTTGCGCCTGACCTTTCTCTATTCGTGTCGGATTACCACCCCATCGGACTTTAAAGGTGAATGAATAGAAAGTGCACCTGTACGCATAAGCATACACTCGGAAATCGTGAACGGAATTCGGTCTGGAGGACATTATTGTTAAATACATACATTATACTCTCTTTTTCCTGTTTAGATTAATAACAAAATGTATACATTTATATATCTAAACTGCCAGATTTTAAACTCAAATCTAACGATGAGCAACAACATGCGAGAAATTGTTTTCGGTCGTCCAATTGCTAAACCTGGCAAATGCTACTAAATTGACGTAAAGATTTTGAAAACAATTGGATCTCTAATCTCAACGCGATTTAGTGGATTCTTGTGCTCACCTCTAGTCGGGCCTCGATCTTTATGGAGTCATCATCCATGTCGAGTATGGCGAGGTTGTTATTGATGTTGTTGTAGTCGGGGTAGGGCGGTGCGGCCCAGCGTCGCGACGACTCACACTCTGTCTCCGAGCCCGCCACCGATGCAGCTCTGCACATTACATCAATACAGCGTAAAATACCAGGCAGTGTGTTGCCAACATAAGAAAAATCATGAGTCATGATCTCATCTCAGGACCTCTTCACCTCACTCCAGGAGGTAACCTCATCGTATTAAGATTTCCTACTTACTAGACAAAAAAGAGGGTATGGGGGATTTAAATAGATGCTGATACCATTAAAACTCTACGAGTTTACATTAAGATTGACCTTGGTAAAAATTATTGTTTAATTTGCTCACAAAAATTTTATTAATATTTTAATCAATTTTCGAACCGATTGTGCTGAAATTTGGCATATTTATGTAATTTCAAATACAGTGCAATAATATGGTAACATAAGCAACTAGACAATGGTATTAAATTATATGTCCAAGTTTACAATATTGAAATTATATTTATATATATATATATATATATATATATATATATATATATAGGCAGATGTTGTTCTGTCCTTTCCTATAACCATTTGCTTTCCTAAAAAAGGCTCCTGAGATTAGCAATAAAAAAATTGAGGGTCTACTTATCGAGATAAAAACCATCCTATCTCTTAAGTTGGATCAAACTGCACACAGTGTGAAAAATTTCATTGAAATCAGTTCAGTAATTTAGGAGTTCATTGCGGACAAGCAACATGACACGTAATTTTTATATATAAAGATAAACATTGCATTCGATCTTAAGATGAATGGCCTAACATTGAATTTGCAAAATGTTTGTTTTAGCAAAATGAATGAATAGGTGACAAACGAGCACACAGTCCACCTGATGGTAAGTGGTTGCTGCGGCCCATAGAAATCTACATCTATCTTCATTTGTAAATTAAATTGTAGATACATTGGCAGCTGTGAGGACTAAGATAGAATGCCTTGTTTCCAGTAAAAAGGGTCTCCGGTTCTCTACACTCACAATACAAAACACAACAGTAAACATACCTGTTATTGTAGTCAGGAGTGCGCGGCGCGGTGGGCGTGGCTCCAGAGCCATCTGGCTCTTCCCCGAACACTTCGCCGTCATCCGGGTACAAGGGAAATCTGTTAACATACATAGCGTATAGTATTGCTTCTTCATCTTCTCTTTATTCAGTTTAAAAAATAAAATAATTAATAGCATCAGGCGTTACTTTGCGGAAATCCATTATAATCATGTTGGAAAAATTTACTTTGCCCATATCCGCTCAATAAAATACAATGATTTGTCTTACCTAGTTTGAAGAGCACCTCCCGCCCTCCCTCAATTGCGTCCACTATCCCCGCCACCACTAATTCCTGCACCTCTACTCTCACCACCACTACACTAGGAAAGACACACCACTGACGATAATACGACACGTGTTTCGCCTCTACACGAGGCATCCTCAGGTTTAGTAGACTCTGCGGTGACTGACCGCTAAACGAGTGGTGAACCGAAGCAGCTGTTATTTATACAACTCGCCGACGCAACCGCTCCCCACTTAAGTAACGAGCGACCAATCATTGCTGGTGATAAGAAGAAGTAATTTTTTCGAACTTTAAGAGTCCGTATAATGCTGTTTTGATGATATTGAGCGATCTGGATCTCGCTATCTATAAGACCTAAGAGTTTGCTATTTGGACACATCAAACTTGGACTTATAATCTTCAAATCTGTTGAAGCAGAAACACGATCCGATAAAAAATTCTCGATTAAAAAAAAAGACGAAAAAACCTCGTTTTGCTCTTATTTTGAGTTAGATCTCTGAAACTTTATGAAATTGAATGATGATTTTTAAGCTAATAGATAGGTAATAATATTATCTCAAATCGTGACGATTTATTTTTCTATTTTTCTACGTGGTCTTCTCGTAATTAGCAATTATGTAATTTGGCGCTTGCGTTATTTTATTCTAAGCGAGCACACTCTCTTTTTGTCTCTTGTTTTGCACGCGGTAGTAATAGCGCTATCCTTTTCCATTTGTTCAATCAGTCTGCTGCGGCATCTGTTCCAGGACGAACCTATGTTTGGCATCATTACAGAGAGACGACTATTTATTCATATAATGACAAGTTATGATTGATAATTTTATTACTTAGTACTCTCTACTCTCTTTACTCTAACAAAATCGCTTTGACCTCGTGTTCCCGCCTGACTGCGAGCAGTAGTGTGCTAACGAGTGGCGCGGGGAAGTGGGGGCGAAATTAGAATTCGAGCTAAGGTAGTATAGGCTCTTAATAAAAGTACAGATAAAGGACAGATTTGTTTTATTCGCCACGCCTGACAGTACCAGATGGCTTTAGCGCTACTCCGTCTCAAGTCTGGGTATTTTAAGTCTGACGTAAACGCGATGCATATAGCGCCATGTTTCCATCTTAATAATAATATAATAATAATAAGCGTTTTATTTCCATAACCAAACAATAGTAAAAAGAAAAACATTATATAAATCTTAAAACAAAACTTTACCGTGTGGTGGCGGTGTAAGAATATTTACTACCCCATATCACCCCTTAGGTGTCGTAAGAGGTGACAGAGGGAAATAAATCAAGAGATGGGCATCAGGGTCTTCCTAATAACGACTAAAAATAAAAAAAAACTGCGGGTGCCAACCCGCTTGCCAAGCGTGGCATGCTATGGGAGAGGCCTATGTTCAGCAGTGAACTTTAATAGGCTGTAACGGTAAAAACTAAACTAATTATTATCATAGCTCTAAGCGTTAAACTAAGCACAACCATAAAATTACATTTAATATGACATTAATTGTTTTTAAAGTTTATTTTGGTTTGGACCCCTCTAGGATAAAGACCTCCTCTGGCTTTTTTTATCTTTCTCTGTCCTTCACCTCTACTATCCAATTCAATTTACTACTTTCACGATGTCACTCCACCTTACTTTAGGCCTGCCGGGCTTTCTTGTTTCCGACGGGTCACGCCAAAACGTAACTATTTTGATCCTTTTATGTGCATCCTCGTAATATGTCCTGTTCATCTCCATTTCAGATTAAGTGCCTGCCGTAGAGCGTCTGTTAGGTTTGTACTGCTACGAACGTCGACATTTATTATTAATTACTTTCTATTTTTATTGACTTTATATTTCTTTCTTAGCCACTTGACCGTCCGAGGGACGCGGCGACATTAGCCTTGTACGTCTCGGCGCCGCTCGGCGCGGTTTTTTTTGCAGTCCGATCGCGACCACTTTGACTAAAACCGTTACCACGGAGAAAGTTCTTTACCTATATCCCCTCACGTGTCATGATGCCCGCAGGGGGCTGACAGATTATGCATGCCCGTGTGTCCATTTGGCAATTAAACATGCCTTGTCTTTAGTCTATGTTGTTCAAACATAAAACGATGTTTTAATCTTTGAACAACATTTATGTTCACGTAAAATCACACCCTTTCAATACATTTTTTCACACTATAAACTTTCTAATATCTACCTCCTTTTACGCGGCAGCTGGTGGTCCCATATAAATTTGATCAAGGTTTGACCTTTGGTTCTTGAGTTATTCTTAATAATTTATATTGAAGTCGGTTGAACAAAATTTTTAATTTTAGATTGTTTTTTTTCAATAGTATATAATATAATAGTTACCTGGCATGGACTTTTTACAATACCATAGACGGGTTTTTTTTTATATAAAGCCGTCTAGTGTAACATTCATGAAGATTTTTGTAACTTTCCATAGATAAAAGGTCGCTTAAAGTGTAGAAGTCAGCGAGGCCGCTCTAGTCGCCCTAACGTTTAACTGAAAAAAATATTAGGCGACTATGGTCGCCCGGACGTTTGAGTGGTTATGTTTTATTGTGTATTGATGATAACGTTATCCTAAAATTGCTTTAATACCGCGACGACAATACTCGATCCTACGATCCTACGAGTGTCCGATATAAAAATTATAATATCAGGGGTAGGCTAGCAAGCAATATAAAAACAGAAGAATAATCAAAGCATAACTAGATCCTAAAGACCACCGATTATGTTCTTCAGTAAGCCTGGAACACAGATCACTAGATCACGACTTTGTCAGTGCCACATAACTTATTATGCACAAACACACTAACACATTATACATATAATTTATTATTCTATTATTTACTTTAAAAAAGAAAATATTAACAACTGGCTGTGCCCGGCATGCACTGCAAGGCCTCTTTTTTGACAGAAACTTTAGCGGGCCCGCGCTCAACATCTCACCAAAGTTTCATAGTAATCAGATGAATGCTATTTGAACGCATAAAAGACAAAAAAACAATTATTAATTTTGATCGACTTTAAAAAACGAGAAGGTTCTCAGTTTACCGTTTAATTTTGACTTCATAATTCGCGACGTTTCGGATGCTTTACAGCACCCATGGTCACGGGGGAGGGGGGACTGAGATGTTTGACGTCTCAATGTCATAGTTAACGAAGGCTACCTTCAAATTTTAATTATTAATTGTTGGTCCGATGTACACAGAGCGAGCTTACAGTACCATGTACAGTACCGTGACCATGGGTGCTGTAAAGCACCCGAAACGTTGGGAATTAAATAATCAAAATTAAACGCGATAAAATCCGTAAAATCAGTTTCATTTAATGTGTAGTGTTCGCGCTAAATATTCATCATATTGTCATTACTAATGTTTCCTTTAAACACTCCTGGTAAGCTTAAACTGATTGTGTTTGTAGTGGTCCAAGACAATAGTCGAATGGCCGATTCGAACCCATAAGCTTATGAGATCGCGGTTCACAACATTAGCAGGCCCGTCTCACTCCGCGCTTTAGGCAAGAAAATATATCTACGCTGCGCGGCCGCCTACAAGAGGCTAAATCAGTGAGGTTTTTACGCGCGCGCCTTACGTTAACAAAAAAGTATTTCTCTCTTATAAGTATTTAGGCACTGCATAAATACGGGTGCTCAAATAACAATAGGTATGTCGACTTTTCATTCTTTACTGTTTCTAAGGATATCGAATGGTAAGATATTTATATTTATAGATAGATCTAGATAATTAGGTACCTACTTACTGGCGCCATATTTACAGATTTATTATTTGATTAGCGACCCGACCACAGCTTCGCAGTTTTCGATTATTTTCGCGTATAATGTCAATGACCTTAAAAGGTTTTGAGTGCAAGTAGACCTCCCAGTATTAGTGACTGTCTACTAATGCAAGATCAGCATATACTGGTTATTTGTTAAACACTTGGTCGATAAAAGGAAGAGATTGAAAATAGCAACATTTTTCATTGCCACTCTTCCATTAATAATGCCGTCACGTGTCGAATGTTGGTAAATAGCAAAAATGTGAAACAGAAAATCGTAAGTACGTAAATTAACTGAGTTTCCAAGATGTTAACAACACAAACACACACACACACACACACACACACACACACAAACACACACGCCTGTCACCCAGAGGGGTAGACAGTGACTACAGACTTGCATGTGGCACGATCCTGACACACCCCTCTCGCCTCCTTTACATCCATATATCTATGCATACAGGCTCATCGGTTAAGGATACTCCTAATCTGGCCCATTTTCAATATATCGCCGATTTGGTCGATAAACCTTCGTCTAGGGCGTCCCTTCCCGACTCTGCCGTTCACTTCTGCGTTCATCATTATCATCATTACAGTCTTTCATAAGTCCACTGGTGAACATAGGCCTCCCCCAAGGAATGCCACAAAGCACGGTCCTGAGCCACCTGCATCCATCGACTTCCTGCATGTCTTACCAGGTCGTCACTCCATCTCGTTGGGGGTCGCCCTACACTTCGCCTACCGGTACGAGGCTGCCACTCAAGAACCTTTCTTCGGTTCTCCGAGCTATATGGCCGGCCCACTGCCACTTCAGCTTACTAATCCGTTGGGCTATGTCGGTTACTCTGGTTCTACTGCGGATATCCTCATTTTTAAGTTTATCACGAAGAGAAACCTCGAGCATAGCCCTCTCCATAGCTCGCTGAGCGACCTTGAGCTTCCTCATATGGTCAGCAGTGAAGGACCACGTCTCAGTTCCGTATGTCATCACTGGCAACACGCACTGGGTGTACAGTCTTGTTTTCAAGTTTTAAGGTATACCTGACGAGAAGATGTGCCGTAATTTCCCGAACGCTGCCCAACCGAGTTGAATCCGTCGATTGACCTCTCGGTCGAAGTTGGACTTACCTAGTCGGACTATTTGTACCAGGTAAACATACTCGTCAACAACTTCGAGCTTAGTGTTCCCAACAACTACCGGCATAGGTGTGACATGGACATTAAACATGATCTTTGTTTTGTCCATGTTCATTTTAAGACCTATCCGTTGGGAAACACTATTGAGGTCATTGAACATAGTGCTTAGGTCCTCCAGCGATTCTGCCATAAGGACTATATCGTCGGCAAATCGAAGGTGAGTGATGTACTCGCCATTATATCCTTTCCAGTCCAGAAGCTTGAAAACGTCTTTCAATGCAGCGGTGAAGAGTTTCGGGGATATAATGTCACCCTGTCTTACACCTCTCTGCAATTGGATAGGTTTCGTACTCTGGTTCTGTACTCGGATAGCCATCGTAGCCCTACTGTACTAGCACTTCGACACTTCGATATATCGACAGTCAACTTGGCACTGCTGAAGGGACTGCAGCACCGCCCAAATTTCGACGGAATCAAAGGCTTTCTCATAGTCCACATACGCCAGACATAGTGGCAAATTGTACTTCTCGGACTTCTGTACAATTTGCCGAAGGGTATGTATGTGGTCTATGGTGCTAAAGCCTTTTCGGAAACCAGCTTGTTCGGGAGGCTGGAAGTCGTCAAGTCTGCGCGCGAGACGTTTCGTAATGACTCTCGAAAACAGCACGTAGACGCGGCTCAGAAGGGAAATCGGTCTGTAGTTCTTCAAGAGAGCGTTGTCACCTTTCTTGAAGAACAAGACCACCGGACTTCTGCTCCACGCCTCCGGTGTAATGCCACCATGGAGGACGGAATTAAAGAGCTTCTGAAGGACTTCAAGTACCGGTTTTCCACCTGCTTTCAGAAGCTCCGCTGTAATTCCATCCTCGCCTGGGGCCTTGCCGTTTTTAAGGTGCTGGAGAGCCATTCTAATCTCGCTCAGACTGATGTTCGGCATATCTTCGCAATATTGTCGGATAAGACTCGCTCTTGGATCGTTACTCATACTTGCGTGTGGCTCCAACGATGACGTGTACAGCTGCCCATAGAACCTCTCAATCTCACTCAAAATCTCAGGTGCCCCGGAAACGATGCTGCCACACTCGGTCTTCAGCTTTGACAGTTGGCTCTTTCTGGCAGACAGATCTGGCAAATACTTTGGAGCCTTGGTTCCGCTCGTTCGCTTCTTCAATTCAATGTGTATTTAAGTTGCGTAAGTCCCACCGCATGCATTTGGAGATCTGTCTGTTCAGTTGCCTGTATGCTGTCAAATCTGTTGAAGAATGTAGCTTCATCTCCCGTCTAACAGCCATGAGATTGAGAGTGTGATCGGAGAGTTTTTGTGTTCTTCTGCGGCGGGTCTTGCAGAACTTAGCTCCGACCGCATGGACAGTTTCCACGAGCTTGTCATTCATATCGTCCACTTCATTACAGTCTTCTAGTCTAGTCTAGTCTAGTCTAGTCTAGTCGTCTTCTGCGTTCACGTTGTTATAAACTAAATTTTTCTCGATGTTGCATATTAACCTTCCTCACATTGTACAATAATGTTCTTATTATCAGAAAATTACTAATATATTGTTGCATAACAACTCGGTCTAATCTACTACCAACTAATATGAAAGGATTCAATTTATTTACTCGCAACACATAACCGCAGCCTAAAAACAAGATACTGTCAGTCCTCACGTTTGATGTCGACATAAACAATAACTTGCTAGGGTTGTCGGAACAGAAAATAATAAAAAAAAATTAAAAAAACTAATTTTATTTCATTTCACGTTTAAACAAATTAATGTGAATGTGGAAACTGAAGAAATTAATTCTTTCTCTTTAAATGAGGACGACTCACAGTTTTTTACCGCACATGTAGTGTGAATTATTTTAATTTGTTTGCGTGACAGGACAACCCTAGCGGATAGTTCCCGAGGCGGCTAAGGGTCGCTTGGAAAGTGCTCAGCCCGCGTCTCGCCACGCACAATTGCCCTGTCTAGACGGCTTCGATGACCGATTGTTAGTAGTAGTTAGATTGTGACCTAACACTATAGTAGGAGCGACCTTAACAAAGGCGCGTAACGGGCTAAGTGATACAAACTCACGAACGCGGACGTAAGGTGCATTTTGATGTAATACGTTTCATCGTCAGCTACCGAGTCGGAAGTGGTTGGCAAAATGCAGTCCTCTTCGTCATTCAGTGAGCTGCCACTGAGCTCGATCTCTACTGGGGGCTTCGGCTCAATGGTGCAGGCCGTTCTTTTACTGGACTTGGCCTCCATTGATTCCGCTGTACCGGTAACCATGGCTCCGGTATCCATGACTTCCGGGTTATTTTCTGCCTTTTTGCTTGGTGAAGTGTCAAATAATTTACCTCCACGACCCTGGAGTTTTACGTATACCGCCACACATACACATGCGAGACGGCGTCCGACTTTCATCAGGGTCGGGATATGATCCTCCGGCACCGAAACAATGAGGAACCACCCGTACGTCTGCTTAACTGCCTTGAGTAACAACCAGTCCCTGATGTTAACCCAGCGGTTCTGGTACGCCAGCATACAACCATTGTCGCGTGAGCTTTTTCAGGCTCCCTGGGCATCAGGGATAAGGATACCACATTTGACCCTTTGTGGTATCTCCAACTGTTTCTTTATATTCAGTGAGGTGTTGGATTTAAGGCTCAGAGTAGCAATATTCCCCTTCAACGCGCGTCTTAAACATTGGTAGGCTATTCTAAGGAAGCTCGCGAGGCGTACAAAGTATTATGAACATTAGAAACGTTGTAATTAGGTTCAAACTCGCAAGTTTGCTATCAGAGAGTGATTCTTAATATGTTGTTGTACTATTATCTATTCCGTGCCATTTTCTTTTTTTTCTTTGTTAAAAACGTTACCCCCACACTAGGATTTTCTCCTGTATCGTGGAGACAGTTTACAAACACAAATTGCACAAGGACAAACATCCAGACACGGAACAATTATTTGTAGGCCATACAAATACTTGTTCCGTGCGGGATTCGAACCCGCGGCCCCCAGCAACTCATTGCTAAGCCCACTGCGTCACGGAGCCGTCAAAGACTACTATCGCTTAAATAAATATAATAAAATCTTTACCAAAATCTTTAAAAACCAGAATAACCGAGAAACTAAATAATTAGATAGTTGTAGTGGCAGTGGGCTGGGCGAAATTATTTTAATTGTAGTTAGAAAAATATATTTACATGAGGTAAAAGTTTTTGTGTAGCATCCTCGAACTGGTAACCGCAGTTTTGAGCATTTCCTCATTAGATAGAGTGACGATGTATCAGAGAAGACTTCGGATCATGTTTTGTGGCACTTTCTAGGGCGGGCACACCACATAACTTGTGAAGATAAAGTGATCATTGTCTCTTTGTTATTTCAAATGCTGTAGACATGCGTATCCGTACCCATGCCTACTTACACATAATATGCATAAGCATGCTTATACTTACATGTGTAAACCGAGGAAGAAAAACGGAATATTACCTATAGTTGTCTTCAGATAAACGGTCATCGTCGTCGGTCGCAATAAACTGAACGCACAGTGCACAATCGCCTTTGACGCTTTGCAATGCCTGCACTGCCTCCTTGTGACACGCCTGGAGATAATTGTCGAATCCGTTAATATAAAAGAAAGCACAACAAAATCAACTATCAATTATTTTTATTAACACATTATTTTAGATTTTATGTCAATTAATTATGTTGTCGTCCTTTGACGTATGAGAATATTAATAAAAATGCGTTCACTGTTATATTTATCGTATTTTATATAAATTTCTAAAGCGGACTTCCATAAATACCCCAGGGAGAATTTTAAATTTTAAACACTGTACAAAATGTATTACACGTTTTATACAGATATGATAGAAAAAAACAACCAGATTTATTCTGTATGACGAAGAATGCTACCAAGCACGACGCATCAGATTAGAGCACTATAAAATTTTATTCATAGTCATTAATCCGGCTATGTCCGGGACATAGCCGGATTTGGCAGGATATAAGATGGTAGTGCCAAATGATTCACGTCTTCGACATAGCTTCTTACTAAAATCTTTAACGCTACTAAAAGACTATAAAAGCTATTATGGAGAGTTAAAAAAAATACGTTTTTTTTTTATAAATCTAGTCCATTTATTTTGTAACTATCATAAATTGATAATCATAGAGGAAAAGGTGACTACTAGGTAAATATTCGACAAAATTCTATTACCTGTGTGAGATCGACATCGTTGATAGCCAGGATGGCGTCACCGACGTACAATTCGCCAGTAAGTGCAGCCGGTCCTCCCGCCTCTAACTCCGAGATCAATATCGGCACTCCGTGCTCTCGACCGCCCTGCCAATTTAATTTAATTCTAATAATTCAAACTCCAATTTTGGTTTATTAGTAGTACAACGTCAATATTTTTCATTTTTTATATTTTTTATAACCCGTCTTCGTATTTGTAAGTACGTGTACTTAAGTATAAATTAGTGGACGGACACTATACAAACTACTTGTCAACGAAGATCATACACAAAAATAATGGTTTTCAGCTTTGTATCATATTCGTGTGTAAGAACGGCCCACAAATTGCTTAATATTGAGGACACTAACAAAGCTAACAAAATAATTTATATTATATTTTATAGATTGACATTATTATGCTTAATATGGTATTATAATTATAATATTGTATATATTTTTAAGTGGTATTTATTAATCCCAACCAGACGAGAACACAATATAAATAAACATGCGTGAGCGTCGTGGAATACTCGATTGGAACGAAGTTCCTTTCGTAGTATATTATTAGCGATTAACGTATTATATTTATAAACAAATACAAATAAATGAATTACTAGCAACTATTAAATTAAAAATAAAATAATATTTCTTTCAAGGTAAGATAAGAAAATGTGCGAGGGAGATGGATATTATTCCATCTCGCTTCCTTATAGCCACCAAGGCAGTCTACACTACGTCCGGAGGGGTCGTGACGGAAAAATCTTAACTTTTTTTCGCCGCCAAATCCGTGCCGTTCGATAAAGAACTTCGTTACAATACACAAATAGTGATTATTCTGTAGTTGTGAACAGATGTCAGTAGTAGTAATAAAAAAAAAAAAACAAACGTTATACATTATTGACAGTAACTTGGTGTAGAAAAACTAACACCTAAAACCAAGATAAGATCTTAGTTTTTCTACACCGAGTTAAGCTTGCCTTGTGTATATATTTATATGGAGATGAGCCTGTAGTTAAATATCCTTAATATGGCATGTCACATTTAAAAAAGCCGCTAGTTTTATCATTATCACTTTATACTGGTTCCCTAAACAAGTTAATTATATTATAAAACACACAAGACGATTATCAAGCCAACATAGAAAATTATAGTTCAATATGTAAGTAATGTTTCCCGTTAAAATATTAGTGCAAATACACTACATACCAAATATTAGTTCAAATACAATGTAGTCTTTATTCAGATATCCTTGGTGGTCTTTCCTTCTTTTCTATACCTGCTACAAAGCAGGAGTGCTACTACTGTGTTACGATTTAAATGGTTATGGAGAGCCTGTGAAAAATTCCACCTTAGACCTTAGAGGTGGCAATAGCGGCCTTTTTATTGCAGGTGTCTATGGTTGAATTCGGCCTTTAGGTAATTTGTTAGCTCGTTTGCAACTTTCTTATATAGGAAATATCCAGGTCTCAAATCTGACTTTAATAATTAGCATCACGGTATTAAAACATGGGTCTGCAACTTGCATTTGTTACCATTTAATATTTGTAAATGTTACCTTCACATTAGGATTTTGAATTGTATAGTGGAAGTGTTTCATACATAAATTTCACAGAAAAATATTTTTAGGCCATACGCACATTTATTCTATGGCTCGCAGCTCTGAAACAAAACGGTTGGCAACTGCGCTACTGAGCATTGAATTACCACACACTTTTGGATGAATGAAATAACCTTGTGGAAACCTACATGTGTCATAAATTTATATAAAACTTGAAAACATCTATAGTCAACCAATTCGCATTGCAGCACGAAACGCGAAGCGAAATCTTTTCTTTTCCTCAACCGAGATAGGTTACAATTTACGACTAAGAAAGTTTTCACGATGAACTAATAAATTATAAGCAAATATCCTTTAAATTATAATAATAATGTATTTGACAATAGTTAATGATAAGTCACTCGAGATGTTTGTTTGCAGGAAGCAATATATTATTCAGATGGCACGCGTCAAGTCCAACAATCAACAAGATATCTTTGTAGTGGCTAGTGGCGGGACGCAATCAATATTCTTTATAAATAAAGCTGTCATATTAACAGAAAAGCAGGATATTAGCTTATTGGTACTAATTGTTGCAGAATAGTTAAGTTTGTCTGTATGATAAATATCACTGACTAAAAAAAACTATTAGCTACTCGTACCTATACATATTATGTTTTAAATTATTAATGTACGATTTTTTTTACATTAATTAAACATTAATAAAAGATGATAGTTTGTAAATATAAGGCCCTCCTTACCTATGAAACTGTCGTGTAATGATTTATTTTTTTAAATTATTTATGACCGATACGGCCATTACAACCGATAAAATTGTTGAATATTTCTATATAATTAATAGAATCAGGCGTTACGTTGCGGAAATCCATTATATAAAAGCTTTTAGAAAAATTTACTTCGCTAATATCCGCGTTATAAAATAAAATGATGTGTCTTACCTAGTATGAAGAGCACCTCCCACACTCAATTGCGTGCACTATCCCCGTCACCACTAATCCCAGCACCGCTACTCTCAACACCACTACACTAGGCAAGACACACCACTGACGATAATACGACACGAGTTTCGCCTCTACACGAGGCATCCTCAGGTGATATAGACTCTACGGTGGCTAACCGCTAAGTGAGCGGCGAGCCAAAACAAGTGCCTTTTATACAGACCGCTGACGCAACCGCTCTCGACTTAAGGAGCGAGCGACTGCGTCATGCGATAAAACAAGCGACCAATCACCGCCAGACTTACACTAATCTTCATCCCGTAATCGTAATAACGACATACATACAGAATATCACCAATTTTATCCCCGAGTTAAAAATCTTTCCGATGTCCAGTTTCCAACAGATGAGTTGTAACTTTTACATAAAGGCCTAAAGTATAATTTAACACCTTCGGTCTCCCAAAAATCGTTAAAGACTATGGCTGTTGACGCGGAGATGGCTGTTGTGATCGGGACGAAAGATAACATCATTAAAAGCTTGGTAGCTAATGAAATTCGGGCTGTGCCCGCGTCTTCCCATTTCAATCCTGAGTTCCCTGTTTTTAAGTCCCTAAAGAAAGCCGATAAAGGCAATACTGTTGTTATTATGGAGAGTAGTGGGTACAGCCAGAAAGTTAACGATGTTATCCAAGGTGATGACTTTGAGCTATTGGAGTCTGACCCAACCAAAAAGTTTACTTCGGATATTAAGTTATGTATACAACAGTCATCATATGTTTTTCCCGATCACAACATGTCTCGGAGCAATCTTGTTCCAATGAATCCTCAAGCACCCATTTTATATTGGTTACCAAAAATACATAAAGAACGTGTTCCTATTCGTCCAGTTGTCTCATATATTGGTGTACCAGCTTATTTCCTTGCTAAAAAATTAAACTTCCTCCTTCGAGAGAAATCTGGATTCAACCCCACTTACACCTAAAAAATGGCTTAGATCTCATTTCCAAAATTAAAGGTATTCGTATTCCTCCTAAATCCATATTGTTATCTTTAGACGTTGATAGTCTTTTCACAAATGTCCCATCCCCTGACTGTTTGTGTATACTCGCAGATCTCTTTGAAAAACGTCGTCTACATCCCGGGGAAACAAATGATCTTCTTAACTTAACCTCTCTCTGTATAAAACAAAACTATTTCCGGTTTAATAACCGTTTCTATCTACAAAAAGAAGGGTTAGCTATGGGGTCCCCTCTAAGTCCCCTTATGGCGGACATTTTCATAGATAATTTCGAAAAACAACATATAGTTGCCAATCAAAATATCTTATATTACTATCGATATGTAAACGACATAATTATTTGCTGGACTGGAGACAACTGGATGTTTTCCTCAATAAAATAAATAGAGTCCATGACAAAATTAAATTTAAACTTGAATTGGAACAAGATTGTTCCCTTAATTTTCTCGATTTAACAATAACAAGAAAAGAATCGTCACATGTTTTCCAAATTTATCGAAAACCAACTCACACCGACACGGTCATCCCCACGTCATCGTGTCATCCGTGGCAACATAAAGTAGCCGCTTTTTATTGTTACATCAACCGTTTGTTCACTGTCCCATTAAGTAAAGAAAATTATTTAAAAGAACTTAATATAATTTATCAAATAGCGGTCTCTAACGGTTTTAAAAAAAAATCTCATTAACAATTTAATTAAAAAGAAAGAAAAGCATGTTGTTCGCAACTCTCTGTACGCGGTTCAACCTCAAAGTGTTCATCGATATGTGAGCGGCGGTGATTGGTCGCATGTTTTATCGCATGACGTAGTCGCTCGCTCCTTAAGTAGAGAGCGGTTGCATCAGCGGTCTGTATAAAAGGTACTTGTTTTGGCTCGCCGCTCACTTAGCGGTTAGCCACCGTAGAGTCTATATCACCTGAGGATGCCTCGTGTAGAGGCGAAACACGTGTCGTATTATAGTCAGTGGTGTGTCTTGCCTAGTGTAGTGGTGTTGAGAGTAGCGGTGCTGGGATTAGTGGTGACGGGGATAGTGCACGCAATTGAGGGAGGGCGGGAGGTGCTCTTCATACTAGGTAAGACACATTATTTTATTTTATAACGCGGATATTAGCGAAGTAAATTTTTCTAAAAGGTTTTTTTTTTGAATATTTCTATATTAAACGGCTAATTTATCCGTAAAATGTGATGTAATTAACGTTAATAATAATCAATTTTCATAACGTAAAAAGAAAGATTTAATTCTATTATTTTAATATTTTATCTTAGCTTTGTGGCATTATTTGGGGGAGGCCTATGTTCAGCACTAAACTTATAAAGGTTTGTAATGATGAAATACTTTAAAATTTGCCCCATTTTCAAGAGTTTCTTTTTGACCAAAAAATAGACGGTGTGAGTTATAATGGCACATAGGAATGTTTGTAAATCACGGTAAATCATGGTAGTGGTCGAAGTCCCTAGTTACTAGCGTAGCGTAGATGGTCCCGAATTTGAATTCCAGCTGGCGCCAAAGTTTATACAAAAACGTAAATAGTTGATATCTACTACTCTAAATGTGGGAATATCCCTGTTACCTCCCAACGTGCAAATATAGTTTATAACAAATGGGTGCTTGCGTTTACGTGAACAATTATGACATAACATCTCTTCCACACTAGATAGTTTCTGATTTATTTATAGGATAAGGGTGAAAAACGAGTACAATTCACCTGGTGTTAAGTGGTTGCTGTGGCCCTTAGATATCTACATCCATCCTCGATGACGAATCAAAATGCAAATGCGTTGTCACCCGTGAGGACTAAGATGGAATGCCTCGTTTCCAGTAAAAAGGGTCTCCGGTTCTCTACACTCACCATACGAAACACAGCAGTGTTAAGCCGCTATTTTACGCTGGTATTCTGGGAGAGCGAGGTCTTTCCTTGGTCCGGCCGACCCATTCGTGCTACAACTATACTAGTAATATAGCTACCGCATGACTCTACCACGCAAAAGATGAATGATTATTCGTTGATAGGACTTTAATAAATCTTCAATAAATGGAATTTATTTATTTATTTTATTTATTTATTTATTCTTTATTGCATTCCTTAATCTAAAAGAATACAAAGGGCGGACTTAATGCCTTGTGGCATTCTCTACCAGTCAACCCATGGTGTGGTGAGAATTTGAAGTAGGTGTAGCAATATAGAATAAAAACAAAATAGAAATGTATAATTAATTACGTTATATATACATTTTACTAATATATACAATAAATAAACTATAAAAATATATCCTATTTATACATGTATACAAATATATACGTACATACATAAGTATACATATATTCATACCAACATACATATACAGATAATACATATAAATAACTATAAATATATACGTCTAAAATATAAATGACATGGATGATTCATCTAAGAAGCGTTGTCTTTAACAGATGATTACGCACCAACTTTTTAAAAGCAAACTTATTGGGAGCTTTTCTGATGTTGTCAGGCAAGGAGTTCCAAAGGCGTGCAGCCTGAACTGTAAAGGAGTTACCATAGAACTCGGTGAAGTGAACTGGAATACATATTTTGTTGTTAGAAGACGAACGTAGAACCCCGTCATGAGATGAGGAGAGATAGTGAAATTTACTCTTAAGATAAGAAGGCGAAAATGGGTTATTTAATATGGAAAAAAGAACAAGTAATATTCTGGAAATACGTCTCTGCCGGATTGTAAGCCAATTAAGCTTAGATCTATATTACGAAATATGGTCATACTTACGAAGCCCGAAAATAAATCTTATACAGTTATTGAGAAGGCGTTCCAGCTTGTTCAGAAGATCCTGGGACAGATCCGGGTAACACACATCTGCATAATCAATTATGGGTAATATGAGTGATTGGACAAGCATGATCTTAGACTTTGTGGGGAGAAAATGTTTTAAACGATACAGAGTACGTAACGTAGCAGTGACTTTACGACTGACTTCAGTAACCTGAGTTCTCCAATTCAGCGTGCTGTCAATGTGTAGGTCAAGATTTTTTACAGACTTACTGAACGGTATTGTAATCCCATTGTAGTAGATAGAGGGTATGTCTGCAAGATTAATCTTGGCTAGTATCCTTGAGCTACCCACTAGTATAGCTTGGCTATACCAATACTCCATAACGAGTAGACCAATCCTTGATAGCTTGTAAGTCGTTATTTAATTTTTTAATCCCATTATGGATATCCCCAATTTCAGCTTGCACGTATAGCTGAAGGTCATCGGCATACAGATGGTACGAGCAATCGAAGATGGAGGTAATAAAGTTTATAAAAATAGAAAAAATTATAGGAGATAGAATACCGCCTTGCGGTACACCAGCTTCCACATCAGCCCAAGCTGAGGTTATTTGCCCCACACAGACTGACTGCTGTCGACCGCGAAGATAAGATGCAAACCATTCCAATGCTGTAGGGCCAAAATTTAGATGAGACAGTATGGATACAAGGATTTCATGATCAACTGTGTTGAAAGCATTTGAGAAATCAACTAGTACCAGTACTGTTACTTTTTTCTTCCATACCGTTTCTAATATCGTCTGTGACGTTAATTAAAGCAGTACTGGTACTATGACCAGGGCGAAACCCAGATTGATATATACTCAGTAGGTTATGTTTCGAAATGAATGTAGAAATTTGCTTGTAAACACAGGATTCTAAAATTTTGGAAAGAAAGGGTAGAATGGATATAGGGCGAAAATGATTGGGAAGAATGGAAGAAGGAACTTTTGGAAGGGGCTTTATAAAAGCCCTTTTCCAAAGATTAGGGTACTGACCTGAATCAAGGGAAAAATTTATAACATGGGAAATTGCTGGAAGAAGGTGCTCTAGTATAAATACTACCATTTGTCTACTAATCTCATCATAACCCACCGCCTTGGACTGAATTGCTAAAATAGACTTTTTGACATCATCCTGCGAAACAGGAGAGAAATTAAAGGTAGGTATATTAGGAATTTGCACAGAAGCAATGGAAGCCACAGTTTGAGAGCGAATTGTAGGGTCCATTGCTGTTACAGAAGCGAAATGTTGGTTGATTTCATCAAGTGATAGAGAAGGATCACAATCCAATGTAGCTAGCCTGCAAAGACCAGAAGATCTAAGAAATTTCCACACTTCGGCGGGAGAAGAGTTGTTAATACAATTATGGAAATATCGGCGTTTAGCTGCCCGTACCATTTGATTGCACCTATTCCTGGCTGCTTTAAAAGATGACCAATTTTCTTCATTACGTTCTCTCTTAAAACGAAGAAAAGCTCGATTACGTCTAGTCATTGCCATCCTTACGCCCTCTGTCATCCATGGGGCTGGAGGACGCTTCAATCTAACCTTGTGAATTGGGGCATGAGCATCATAAAGGCTGAGAATATTTTGGTTAAGGATAGAGACTTTATCGTCAACAGTAGGTGCTGCAATATCAAGTACAATGGAATATCAAGTACTATAGCAAAGTCGACATAAAAATTTATTATTGGTACTGTGCGACGTAGGGCACGCACGGAGAGTTAAACCCTCTTGGATGGACGGGGGTGAGATCATCAACTCATCCATAAACTGAATGACTAAAATGGGACGCTATTACTAAGTCTCCGCTATCCGTCCGTCCGTTTGTCTGTCAGCAGGCTGTATCTCACGATCTACGGATCGAAACGGTTCTACGAAAGGTAGACAGTAGAAATTTTCACAGAATGTGTATTTCTGCTAGCGCTTAAATAATAAACAATAAAAATTAGAATAAATTAAAATTAATTGAGGCTCCCCTACTAGAAACGTGTGTGCAGGTACGGAAACCTTCATGCGCCAATCCAACTCGCACTTGGCCGGCTTTGATTATATAATTAATATAAAAAAATTCCAATATTTCAGGAAAAAGAAAACGTTAACCGTTATACTTTCCTAACAATTTAAATTCCCCTTTATGAAATCGCTAAAATATTTCCCCTCATTCCAAAGTGGCGCCGCCCAGTTGGCAGAAAGTCGTGGATGACTTAATTGCAGGTGCGCTGCCTTTTGAAAAAAGTAGGCCATAGGATTGGGTCGGCCCGACTGAGAAAGAACCACGCCATGACTGTATAGCAGCGTAAAATAGCAGCTTAATGCTGCTGTGTTTCGTATGGTGAGTGTACGAACGAGGCATTCCATCTTAATCCTCAGGGGTGGCACCGCATCTGCATTTGGATTCTTAACGAGGATAAATTGAAGATGTTTATATGGGTTTTAGCATCCACATAAAAACGTCGCGACATGAAGTAATTCCTGAGTGTAAAATGAATGAATGAATGAACGAATGAAGCGACTGACGGTGACGGAGATGCCGAGGCCGAGGTGCGGCGAGCGGCGCACGCGCACGGTGCGCGGGCGCGGCGCGGGCGCGCGCGGGCGCGGCGGCCGCGGCGACAGCCCGCGGCACACGCGCACCAGCGTCTTGTGCCGCTGCAGCAGGATCTCCGCCTCCACCTGCCGTAAGCGCACACTTCTAAGCTTTTTTTCGACATAAGCGGCCTAATTACAAAAAGTAACATAAAACATAACATGAACAATAATATATGTCACACAGAAGAGTAGGCAGAGAGTGATCATCATTATTACAGCACTTCACAAGTCCACTGCTGAACATAGGCCTTCCCCAAGGAATGCCACAAAGCACGGTCCCGAGTTACCTGCATCCATTGACTTCCTGCATGTCTTACGCCCTTGGGGGACGCCCTACACTTCGCCTGCCGGTACGAGGCTGCCACTCGAGAACCTTTCTTTCCCATCGGTTGTCGGTTCTTCGAGCTATATGGCCGGCCGGCCCATTATCACTTCAGCATAATAATTCTTTGGGGTATGTCGGTTACTCTGGTTCTACTGCGGATATCTTCGTTTTTAAGTCTATCACTCAGAGAAACGCCGAGCATAGCCCTCTCCATAGCTTGCTGAGCGACTTTGAGCTTCCTCATACGGCCAGCAGTAAAGGACCACACACGCACTGGTTAAACAATCAAGTTTTGAAGTATGTCTAACGAGAAGATGTGTCGTAATCTCCTGAACGCAGCCCAGCCGAGTTGAATCCGTCGATTGACCTCTCGGTCGAAATTGAACTTACCTAGTGGACTATTTGTCCCAAGGTAACATATTCATCAGCAACTCCAAGCTTAGTGTTCCCAACAACTACCGGCATAGACGTGACTTGGACGTTAAACATGATTTTTGTTTTGTCCATGTTCATCTTAAAACCTATCCGTTGGGTACACTATTGAGGTCATTGAGCATAGTGCTTAGGTCCTCCAGCGATTCTTCCATAAGGAATATATCGCAAATCGAAGATGAGTGATGTACTCGCCATTACGTTAATACCGTATCATTTCCAGTTCAGTAGCTTGAAAACGACTTCCAATGCAGCGGTGAAGAGTTTCGAGGATATAAAGTCACCCTGTCGTACAGGTTTCGTACACTATTTCAAAATTTCTAAAAAAAAAAAAACGTTACCCCCACACTAGGACTTTCTCCTGTATCGTGGAGGCAGTTTACAAACACAAATTGCACAAGGACAAACATCCAGACCCGGAACAATTATTTGTAGGCCATATAAATACTTGTTTCCTGCGGGATTCGAACCCGCGGCCCTCAGCGCAGCAACTCATTGCTAAGCCACTACGCCATGGAGCCGTCAACTCTGTTTCTGTACTCGGACAGCCATCGTAGCCCTACTTTACAAACACTTCAGGACTTCGACATACCGCAATCCACTTGGTACCGCTGGAGGGACTGCAGCACCGTCCAAATTTCGACGGAATCAAAGGCTTTCTCATAGTTCACACACGCAAGACAAAATAGCAGATTATACTCCTCTGTCTTCTTTACAATCTGCCGCAGGGTATATATGTGGTCTATGGTACTAAAGCCTTTTCGGAAACCGGCTTGTTCAGAAAGCTGGAAGTCGTCAAGTTTGCGTGCGAGACGATTCGTAATGACTCTCGAAAACAGCACGTAGACGCGGCTCAGAAGGGAAATCAGTCTGTAGTTCTTCAAGAGAGCATTGTCTTTCTTTAACAGTCAATTGTCAGTCTTCTGTACAATTTACCGAAGGGCATGGGAGCTTATCTGGAGACTGCGGGGACGCAGTCGTGTGTGTGTGTGTGTGTGTGTGTGTGTGTGTGTGTGTGTGTGTGTGTGTGTGTGTGTGTGTGTGTGTGTGTGTGTGTGTGTGTGTGTGTGTGTGTGTGTGTGTGCGAGTGTGTGTGTGTGTGTGTGTGTGTGTGTGTGTGTGTGTGTGTGTGAAAATAAACTCATCGCGCCAACAACCTGAAAGGGCAGAATAACGTCTGCCGGGCCAGCTATTATAGATGACAGTATTTTCTTTAAATTCATTAATTAAAGGATTTAGTCTATTTTTCTTTTACCCGGTAGAATATACTTCTGTAGTTTTTGCTGTTATCAGAAAGATGCTGCTGTCCATCTCCTGTCTCAGTTTCCCTCTGTCGCCTATTACGACACCCAGGGGACGATATGCGGTAGTGGATATCCTTACACCGCTACTACACGGTAAATAACGGATTGTAACCGAAATATATTCGTGCAGCATGCTAGCGGTTGGTTTTTGAGTTGAAATGTATATATGTTTATTCCCTTATTTATTATTATTTACTTACCATATGCAAAAAAAAAATATTTTAACTTAATACTGTCTGGTATCAAGTAAGAAAAACCGACCCGGCAATGTCAAAATTTAACAAGAAAAAATAATCAAAAAAACAGTTATCGTTTTTTTTATGGATTGTATTAATAAAATAACTATATATATAAACTAATCTCTATATATAAAAACCGATTGATATTCGTTAGTCTAGCCCAAACTTAAAAACGGCTCCCTAGACGCTTTAGATTCACATTTGGATACGGAAAATGGCGCTGTGGTCGAGATTTAGAAATAACCCGTGCGAAGCCGGGGGGGATCGCTAGTATAAAAATAAAATAAAATACCTGCGCCCACAGTGAATCTCGAACTTCTGACCGCATGTCCCTGCCGAGAAGTTGCAGCTGCTGTATCCTGCCAGCCAGTTCTTTATCTAGATACTTTGTGGCCAACCTATTGATAGAAAATAAAACATATATAATAGATATAAGTACCTGGACTACTAAGCTTAGCACGCCAGCATTAGAGAAAAAAGGTAAGGAATCAGCGAAGACACATTGCCTATTTCACTCATCTCATCGTGATGATGTCGTAACATTCAACTAATGGATGTAATCGATAAATTTAGTGGCGTCCTGTTTAATGCCACAACTTTCCCAACATCGTGACCCCAGTTCGGTTAGTAAATAAAACTCCTAGACATATGGCATGTAACAAATACCTACATTTGAAAATTGTAACCTATACAATGCTCTATGAGGCAAACCACACCGTTATTAATATTACAAGTGACACCGTTTAGTGAATAAAATATTAAATGTAACAAACAAAATTGGTAATAATTTAACAAAACCTTACTCACAAGAACAGAGGAAATAAATAAACTATACATAAAAATAAGGCAATATATTTATTTACATATTTACTTCAAACTATCTTCATCCATCAAATGACGGTATAACCATGTATTCATTATTTACAATAATTTTTTGTCTGTTTGAATTTTGTATATAATGGACATTCAACTATTTGTAAGGATTGTTCTTAATGTCGTAAAAACTCACATTGAGTTTTTGTTACCAGTTTTTGTAGTAAAATTAAATAAAAATCCATTATCTCACCGACCTCCGAGCAAAACAATCAACCGAAACGTCAAAAAAGCAAGGTTAAGCAAATAAGTGTTTTCTACGCGCGCAAATATAGACGAATACTGTCTTAATGAGTATTACGTTATATTTCTTAGTATATTTTTATTAACAATAAAGTAACGTTACATCTTGTATACGTCCCACTGCTAGGTACAGACCGCTCCTTTCTGAGAGGGTTATATGGTGCAATTAGTCTTTGAAATATTTTATTCATTACACATGCAAGTTTTCACACAATCTTTTCCCTCGCCGTTGAGTACGTGGTAATTAGCACTTAAAATTACAAGTTAATAATTTCATTGGTGTCGGCCGGGTTCAAATCTGGATCGCTAGCATACTGTGAAATTCACAACGAGGGTGCGAGCGATTCGACCCTCGGCTACTACTTTTTCTTTCTTCTCTTTTTGTTGTTATATATTGAGTTTTTATTTTAGAATGTTTAAGAAAGTTCCGCAGTTATCATCTGACTTTTCCCTTTAATTTAGGCCTAAAGGGGAACACAATGTAAGTAACTGCCCATTCACTAGTAATGCCGCTGGTGGATAGCGCTGATAATGTTAGCTACATCTTTTCTTTCGTGGTAGAGCCATGCTGCAGCTATATTAGTAGTATAGCTGTAGCACGAATGGGTGGCTCGACCGGGGAAGGACCAAGCTCTCACAGAATACCAGCGTGAAATAGCAGCTTGACGCTGCTGTGTTTCGTATGGTGAGTGTAGGGAACCGGAGACCCTTTTTACTGGAAAAGAGGCATTCCATCTTAGTCCTCACGGGTGACAACGCATCTGCATTTTGATTCGCAAACGAGGATAAATGTAGATGTCTATGGGCCACAGCCACCACTTACCATCAGGTGGACTGTGTGCTCCATTGTCACCCTATCCTATAAAAAAAAAATATAAAATATATATTAACCAAAAGTGTAACGATAGGAATATGTTAACCTTTTCGTCATATTGGACGACAAATTTTTTGTCAAATATTAGGGGTATTTCCAGTAGGCTTACCAAATAGTCTTTCGTTCTAGTAGCCTTACTTGTGCAACTACTTGGAACCTTCATGCGCGGTGCAATCCCAGTAGTCTTACAAGATGGATAACTTGGAATTTTGCGGAAAAAAATTCTCATTAGTCCTACTTTAAATACATGGAAGTTGTCATATGTGGATAAACAAAACAACTACTTCTCCAAACAACTTTTTCTCAAATGCATACTTAACCTGCGTGCAGTACACTTTGCTAATTCAGATGTCAAGAATGCAGGGCGTTCACCTGGCACCGAAGAGTTCGGAGTGCAACGACAGCACGGTGTCTCGAAGGGCAGCATTCTCTCGAGCCAGTTGCGCCGCCTCGGCCCGGGCTCGCGTCGTCTCTGTAATGCGGCCAATTCCATCTCCGCCTTCCTTGCATCTCCCTAATCACATTAAATTGCGAAGTTACATTAAAAAGATATGGTAGTTGCCTTTTCAATGTCAAGAATTTCATATAACTTCAATATCAAGGTTGCAAGAAGTTTGAAGAATAGGCGAACGATCTAGCGCTATTCCGCCATGCTCGAACGACCAAGTTAGACAACCGAGAGAGGCAACTACAGCCCAGACCGATTATTTACGTATGAAAATCCATCAAAACTGGACCCATTTGAATACTTTCTTCAAATACAATATTAGAACGATTGTGGCTATAATACTGTGCCTGTATAATGTTCTTTTATTTTTCTATTTGATAAATTTGTTTCCTAAATATCTTTTAATGGAGCGGCGGTATAATTGGATAATTTTAGCAATTTTAAAGGTTCCTTAGTTTTTAAAATAATTAATTTACGAGAAGACAAAACATGATGATGTCCTTTTATACGGGGGGGTTTGTTTGAACTAAACACCGGGGAAATAAACTGTTAATTAAAAACACACAAAAAACATCAAATCAGTGGATAATGCATTCTATTTTAATTTTCATGCGGATTTAAGCTAACTAATCTTTGATAAAAATATGCAACAAGCTTTGGAAATTCGAATTCTTACTATATTTGTGACATTCCCATGAATATTACGACATTGAGTGGGCCTGATGAAGTCCCTCCTATTGTGCTGCAGATGTGTTTCGGAGCTGAAACTGTTCTGACGCGTCTTTTGTCGTATTTCTACTCCCTAGGCATCGTCCCGAACTCATGACTCATGAGCTTTAGTGCACCCGATCCCTAAAAAAGGCGACCGTTCAGACCCGTCTAACTACAGGCCTATCGCCGTCACCTCATTGTTCTCCAAAATAACGGTATCCGTTTTAAAATGACAACTCATGACGTACCTTAAGGACCACTAGCCGATTAGTTACTGCCTATACAGTTTCCTTCGGGATCGCTCAATTCAGTCAGGAAAATAAGAATCACCTTCTTATTTTCCTGACCTATAGATAAGCGGAGGCAGTAGAATCCAGAAGGAAGGCTTTGTCCTTTACTTTGGACATAGCAAAAGCCTTCTCGGGTTTGGCACAAATCGCTTCTTTCGAAGCTTTCTTTCTATGCGCTTCCCAAGAATTTAGATCACCACTTTCCTAACAGATCGGAGCCTATTAATGCTGGTATTCCACAAGGCTGAGTGTCATCATCTACACAGTATTTTCTGCATATCAATGATGCGTTGTAAACCAGTAACATTCATTGCTATGCGGACCACAGAACAGGGGATACTTTTTACACTAATGAGGTACAGTTCTGCGGTCACTTGGGAGGGAAAATTTGATTGAATGTGGGCGACGAACCAGGGAAAGCTAGCTTAAATATAAAAATCTAGTAAATAAATTCGTGGGCTGGGCACGCACAGGCAAGACTCCTTGGGCAGTCAGAACTTTATACCAGACGATGATAGCCTGTACTGGCCTATAAGATAAATTAATTTATGCAAGTTACAAATGTAATATAGTTTTATCATTTATTCGTCTCTGCAATTTTATAGGAAACCTTAGAACCTCTATGAAACAAGTTTTCCTGACATTTGTTCTTGAAACATTAAATATATCTTAGCTTCTGGCCGTGTCTCTGACATGAGTTATCTATTTTATGTCCTTTATTACTTTATATCCTTTTCCAGGATTGAAATTCTGAATTAAATTTACTATATACATCAACACAACGACAAAAAAGTGACTTATCAGCAGATTCGGATAAGCTTAGGCATCGGTATGAGTCAAGTGCACAAAATCCTCCATGAACATTTAGCGGTCAAGAAGGTTTGTGCCCGGTGGATACCTCATAATTTGACAGAGACCCAAAACCTCCGTCGTGTTGATTGGTGTCGTGAAATGTTTCGAAGGTTTAACGGAGGTGACTCAAATGCTGGTTCCACATACTTACGGATGACGAAAGCTGGATTTATTGTTATGATCCTGAAACTAAGAGACAGTCTGCTATCTGGGTGTTTCCTTCCGAGTAATTGCCAACTAAAGTGAAGAGAGGTCGAAGCGTGGGAAAAAAGATGGTGGCCTCGTTCTTCGGAAGGACAGGTCATAACGCAACAATTATTTTAGAGGATCGAAAAACAGTTACTGCAGGGTGGTACACTAACAATTGTTGGCCACTTGGTACATGGAAAATGTTCGGGAGATACGACCTCGCAGTAGGATCCTCCTTCACCACGACAACGCCTCGTCGCACACCGCCAAGCAAACAATCGACTACTTGGCGACGTCAGACGTGGAATTACTGGGTCACCCGCCCTGTAACCCCGACCTCACACCTTGCGATTTTCATTTATTTCCGAAAATAAAAGAAAAACTTCAAGAAAAACGTTTTATGGACGCCGAGGAAGCAGTGGCTGCGTTTCAAAATGCCGTCGAAGAGACCCCTAAGGACGAGTGGGCAAAGTGCTTTTCTCAGTGGTTCCATCAGATGCAGCGATGTATTAATGTAAATGTACACTATTTTGAAAAGATATAATAAAACTATTAACTTGCTAGTTTGTTCAGTTTTTGATTTTCTGAAAACTTTCAATGTCACCCACGTAATAACATTATTTAATCAGCGACAATTTGTCAGCACCGATTCCATAATGTGTAAAGTTATTTCTTTTCTTACTCGTATTTACCATTATTCAATAAATTTGCTATTTAATAATTTTATAGATATTCGCTGTAAGTAAGCTTTACCAGTTTGGGTGATATATAATGTGTTTTATTTGCATATTTATATTAACACTGATAGAGCCACGCGGCAGCTTTTGCTGTCGCACGGATGGGCCGGCTCTAACCGGGGTGGTACCACGACCTCACAGAAAACCAGCGTGAAGTAGAGGTTTACTTCTGCGTTGCCCTTGGTGAGTGCAGGTGGCCGGAGGCCCTTTTTACTGGAAATGAGGCATTCCATCTTAGTCCTCACGAGTGACAACGCATCTAATTTTTGATTTGTAATAGAAGATAGATGTAGATGTCTATGGGCCGCAGCAACCACTTACGATCAGGTGGACTGTGTGCTCGTTTGTCACCCTTATCCTATAAAAAAATATTAATGTGTGTAAAAAAAGAAGTTTATTAACTAACAAGAAGAATAGCAAGAATCTAGTAATAAAATAACAAAAAAACTTGGACGTTGGACATAGTGAAGTGTACAATATAATATTCACTTCATATTTTATTGATTCCTGTATCAGCAGCGCAAATCACTAACTAACTTGAATATGAAATGTGCGTATTTTAAACTAAACAGTAACAAAGAGGCAAAATGATCTCTGCATGACGCGTTTCATTTATTATTCAATCGTGAGTCAGATAGTCAGATTTAACTTTAACTCGAGGTACATGTTACAAATAATTAAGCGAAATGCGTTGTATTTGTCGCCTGCGCAGCTACTAGACGTGCTGCCCGTTTAATTTAAACTAATGAATGACATGTACATTGTACAGGGCTGACAACTATTATTTAGTAATTGATATAAACATGAGGAGTGGGAAAATCTTCGTGTCCGAACGAAAGTCAACTTTTGGTCGAAGCCGAAAGTTTAAATTGAACTTAGAAATGTCATCTGGCACTAGCAACAAGTACAGTGCAAATTCCATACTATTTTTCTATCGTAAAATGATGTACATAAAAATTGCAATTATATCAATATTTTCTTTAATTTGCAAGTCCACTGCTGAACATAGGCATTCCCCAAGGAATGCCGCAAAGCACGGCTTTCATATTGCTTTAGAAATGTAACTCCAAGCTTTAGGAAAGTCATGGACCCATTCAGTTTTGTTGATACATGAGGTATCAATAAAATTGATAACGCCACTTCAACTTCAGAAGGGAGATGCCAACATTTGCATTTGCAACTACTTAACCTACCAATGAATGATTGCAGGACGTTTCGTAAAGAAACGCGACATCAAAATTTGTAGTCTAATAGTACTTTTCAAGTGTGTGATGGGGAATAAAATGTATTAGATATTGTCAACTAACACTACGACAACAACTCAACTGGATAATGAAGCAGTGAGATTACGTAAAAATCATAGTGTGCTTTTCACACAATTCTTCCCCACTCACCATTTTCCACAATCATTATGCCTTTAGATTGAGCTACCTATTTTATTCTCTATTTCTTTACTTAGAAGAATGATTTCTGCAGGACTTGGCTGCAGGTTATAGAAAACGATGGTGCTTTTTTTGCTACTTGAGATAATTTGGTTTAGTTTATTCAAAATATAATAGATTTGTATACAAGGACATTAACAGACTTAATGTGGTACTAAACAATAGACATTACAACATTTACTTGCTGTGATTTTCTATAAGTACATAATAATAATTACAAAACATTGTAATGTATACAAATTGACAAGTACAAATTGTCGCGCACATTAGTGCCCTCATATTTTTTAATTTAAATTTAATAAAATACAATAAATTTGTTTGTTTCATTTTAATTTTCCTTACGGGTTTCCCCATAAGATTTTAAAGACATTCAAATTCGTATTTATAAGTTAAGTCAAAACAAGAGTAACGAATTTTTATAGGGAATTAAATTCCTGTAGCTGAAACGGTGTTACAAAAAGTTGTTACAGTCGCAGACGGGGATAGCAGGTGTAATACGATAGCAGATAGAACTAAAAATATATAACTTTAGCATTGTAATTGCGCCCTTATTAGGTGTGTAATAAGATTTATCAGCCCTGTTGAAGAGTCTTTTCGCACATGTCAATCATCTATATTTCTTTAATAAGTGTTATAAAAGACAAATAGGCGAACATTAAAAAGGATTCTTATTGATATGACCTCTAGTATAACGCCAGCTGATTTACGCCTCAATATGAAGATTACTTAAAACATAAGCACGAAAGATTAGCACTAATAATACTAAATTGGTAGTAAATATCACGACCTGCATCGTTATAGCCGGATTAATCTAAACAGCAAGGCTTACCAACAACAGCAGCCCGCGCCTGCACCAACTCCGCTCTCATATCCACTAGCTCCGCCTGCAAAAAAAACATTCAGTTTAATAACTCCATAGCGTTTATAATATCACACACATATTTGGTAAATTACAAGTAGGCACATAATATATACATAATATTATGATCATTATATATTACATACGATATAATTTTAGTGCTTAACAATTTCCTAATATTATGATGTTTTATTTAACTCCATTTTTTATAGAATAATGGTGATAAACGAGCACAAAGCCCATCTGATAGTAAGAGGATGCTGTGGCCCATACGCATCTACGTTTATCCTCACTTAAGAATCAAAATGCAGATGCGTTGTCACATCTGAGGACTGAGATGGAGAGCCTTGTTTCCAGTAAAAAGGGTCTCCGGTTCTCTACACTCACCATACGAAACACAGCAGCATTAAGCCGCTACTTTATGCTGTTATTCTGTGAGAGCATGGTCCCAGCCCGGACGAGCCGACCCATTCGTGTTATATCACGCTGCACTCATGCAGCATGGCTCAAACACGTAAAAATGATAAAAAGTGATAGTTAATACAAAATGGAATACTAAAATACAGGCAACCAACGGGGAAGAAAGGTCCTCGAGTAGCAGCCTCGTATGGAGTGACGACCTGATAAGAGATGCTTGAAGTCGATGGATGAAGGTGGGGGCTCAGAACCGTGATTTGTGGTATTCCTTGGTGATACGACCTATGTTCAGCAGTGGAAGGGATGTAATAATGATGAAGTGATATGAATGTTAATTTGAAAAAGTTTCCTGTGTAGGTTTTTTGTAATGGTATCATATTAAGTATTAACATTAACAGTTAACTTAATATTAAAAAAATTGAATAGATCTTACAAATAATTGCTATATCAAAATTCAATCAGACTTCATTTGGTCGTTAACATTAAAATTAATAAGTATCATTGCTTTATAAACCAATACAATTTGTATTATGCGAAAGCTTAACCTCAGTGACATCAAGTGCATACATTTTACGACGCATTTCCCTATACGATAAAATTTGAACCTGAGCCTCGTACGTCTACACGGACAATGGGATATTAATCATAAACCGAAATCAATAGCGGCGTAAATCCGAATCAGAGGCGACAGATGGCGGGCGTGAGTCGGCGCACGCGCACATAAATCGTCTAACCTTTGACACTTCCGTACCCTTACACACAACACGCCTTTCACCCTCATTGACTTAAATCTTGTCTCATTTACCGAACCCACTAATTCCCCAACGATTTATTTCATTGCTTCGATCAATTTACTCCCCACACTAGTGCAATGATGCTTGTTTAGGTTATAAAGCCGCGTCTCCACCAAAGTTTTGTTACCAACTGTTGTGTTGCCAACACGTGTTGGTAACAAATGTTTCTGTAATTACCTGGTGTTGGCAACAAAACTTGAAACAATATCGGGAACCGTGTTTACATTTTCGGCGGCAACATCAAAGGAATACGCTTGTTGCAAACATTTGTTCCCTCAGTGTAGACGTTTGTTGGAAACATTTGTCGGCAACATCGGAAACAAATGTTGGTAATTTTGTTGAGTTATAAACAGTTGGTGGATACGCGGCTTTTTTTTTCTTATTTTAAAAAAAAAAGTTACCCCCACACTAGGATTTTCTCCTGTATCGTAGAGGCAGTTTACTAACATATATTGCACAATGACAAACATCCAGACCCGGAAAAATTATTTGTAGGCCATACAAATACTTTTTCCGTGTGGGATTCGAACCCGCGGCTCCAAGCGTTGCAACTCATTGCTAAGCCACTACGCTACGGAGCCGTCGAATAGCCGCTTTAAATAAGCAATATGAGCTTGTAGGCAAACTAAACCGAAAAATAACACGTTAAAAGGAGATTTACTTTCTCATTACATTTAATAGATTCTTATTAAAGCGTGTTGTTGAAAGCTGTAACAATGTTTGGAGAGAATCTTGCTTTGGAATAACGGAAGTTGTAGAATCATCTTTTGTTAATGCATACGGTCAGAATATGAGTATTCATTTATTATACGAGTATGAGCACGTATTGAGCTGTGTGAGATTTACGGCGATCTTTTATAACACTCTCTTCGTACGATTGTCCTAAGGCTTGTTTTCTCTTTTCTATTTACATAAAGCTTTCTTTCTCCTAACGTCTTATTTTGGAGACTAGCATCATAGAAAGTAACTTAGGTAGTTATTTCTTAATTAAATCACGTTACGTATGTCCATAGAATGTTTGCGACTTTAACTAAGGTATGTATGTTTGAAAAATATGGCAACGAGAACTGGTGGTAGAAACACCAAGAGTACGAGTCAAAAAAACAAACAGTTTTTATAATAAACAAAAATGTTAATTTTTAAATAACGATGCTATATAAAAAATTAGCAAATTTAATAATGATAAAGTTTTAGCGTTAATAAATGGTAGAGCTTTTAATGATGACCACGTAGTGAGTTTTTCAGTCGTAGCCGTACACGATTAGCGTCAATGTACGAGACGTCTGGTATTATATGACATACCGTCAAGTATGTATATTACGACAAATACTTGCATAGGGGATGATCATGTCCAGCCACTTATTGGTAAGGGCTGATAATAATAATATGATATACAGTTTAAAAGTTACAACTAATAACGCTCAAATATAGTGTCAGATATTTGGCGGTCAAATAATCGGAGTTCTGGCCTATGGTCTTGCCGGATATATATGGTATTCGCCAGGTGCTATCTCGCATCTTAATTCTTTAGTTAAAAAGCTATAGAACAGGTATAAGTCCAATTGAAATATGAGCCTTAGGAAGACGGATATCTCACAAATAATAGTAGTTTTTATATTTTATAGGAAAGTCGTTCTTTGTACATATATTAGAAATAATATGGGTTTACCAGGCGCATGCTTGTCAGGATTAACATAAAATATATAAGCTGTTTAAAAAGTTTTACAGGTGCAGTAATGATATACCAAACGATAAACGATATAAAATATAGTAAAAAGGATAATAGTGAAGCCTATGCAGTATTGAAATATACTACATTTTAGTTTTGCAGTCAGTAAATTGTGTGGTTTTTTGGTCGGAAGATGACACATTTTTGTAAGATTATGTAGAGCACAATATTAGGGTCGCCAAAACCCTAATATTTGTGTGATGTTTTGCTTTGCTTTCCGGTGCAAATATTTTCATGATTTTATTAACAAATAATAATTTACAAACGAGTAAGACTTACATTAGGTACAATGTTACTTTGTTGATATACGAACGCTGCGATCTGAGCGATCTAAGGCTGGGATTGTGAGTTAAGTCACTCCATTTTAAATGCGCTAGTCTTTGTAGTACATGAAGAGTTATTCTATGTGAACAGTGCAATCACGCCGTGCTGCGCTAAAGCAACTGAACTTACGAGTACGTAATTATGAATACATAATATGTATATATATGGGTACCATCATTTATCTTTTGTTTATGGTTTTTAGGTATTCATAATCTATATATATATATATATATATTAGTTACTTATTTTATGATTTTTTAAACATTTATGAAGCTAGTGATTTTTTTAAAAAGGCGGTAAAAGCGATTTCGCATTACCAAAAAATGTAAATTAAAAACTATCTGATTGAAATTTATTCATATCTCAACAAGAAGCTGTGAAATACAGTAATATTTTACTGCAAACATTGATATCTCAATAGACCAATGCATCCTCTACTTGGATATTGTAAGATAGTGACCAACCATAAAAGTAGGTGCAATTACTACCGGTGCGGTTAAAGAATGGGATTGAAAATGGCGTCGCTCTATTCACTTCTCGCTCGTACACTGTCGTTATCTATACTCAAACCCGCCGGTAAATACTAAAGACTGCAAAAGAGATACGTTACGATATGCGTCTTTCGTACATTCTATAACTTCAGTTCACCTTGTCATTGAAATGAATGATAACAAAATGCCATAAACTACAAAAAAGTCAGACTGGTTTTGCGACAACAGTGAACTACTACGTGTTCTGAGTGTTTTCTTCATAATTATTGGTGATTCAGTTTGTTAATATTTTTGTATAAGATTTACATGCCATTGAGACATGAGTAACTCTTTTGTAAAGTTTCGTTTGTCGGTCTGTCCGAGCTAATCTTCGGAATGGCTGAACCGATATTAATAAAAAAAAGGTCGGGGAAAAAGTTTCTTCGTATTTTATACACCAACTCAAGATAATCTTTTTTCAAAGTCTAATTACATTTACTTATCTATACTATAATATAATAAAGCGGAAGTTTTTTTGTTTGTTTAAACGCGCTAATCTCTGGAACTACCAGTCCGATTTGAAAAATTCTCTTTGTATATTATAGCCAGATTCATGTGGAATAGTATAGGCTATCTAGCATTAAGCTATATTACTCAGCTAGCCTTAAATATGGATATTTGTTAAGCAAGTCAGAAGAATTGGGATTTTTTATTAAAAAAATGCGACAAGTAGTTTTGGTAGATGATTAGATCTCTTGATGTTAACCTAACACTACCCAAATAATTTTGAAGAGACCGAAACCGGTGAAAATCTGAGGGTGCAAGATCAGGACTATATGGTGGATGCACTAACACTTCCCAACCAAGCTCTCTCAATTATTGCTGTGTGGTCAAAGATATGTGTGGTCTGGCATTATCATCATAGACATGAAAGACCTTTCCTTTTTTGTTGATCAATTCCGGAAGATTTTTCTAGTCTCATTAGTTGTTGACAGTAGTGACCCGAATCGATGGTTTTGCGCGGCGGTAAAAGCTCATAATAAACAATGCCCTTCTAATCCCACCATACACACAGCATTATCTTATTACGTGTTAATCCTGGTTTCGCTACTGTCTGTGGAGCTTGACTAACCTTTCAGCCTTTCACCATGATCTTTTTCGTACGTTCTTGTCGTAGGTGATCCACTTTTCATCACCAGTGATCAATCTTTTCAAAAATAGTTCGGTTTCATTACTTTTTAATAGAAAATCGCAAATGAGAACACGATTTATTAGG